GTGTAGGGAGAGGCAAAAAGCCCAATAGGCTCATATGAAGAAAAATAAAAATACAATGAACCAACAATGAAATCCATCAATTACTTAAATCACAAAAATTTTAAGCAAAACAAATAACAATAAAGGCATTTAAAAGAAAAAAATCACAACATTTTAATTAAGTATAATTTGAGAGAAGGTTTAAATAGTTTCACAGAGGCCTGTTTTTTGCTAAATGAAGATATTAATTACAAAGTGTTGCTCTGCTATCAGACAGAAAACTGACCTGTTCTGCTCTGACATTTAGGAAGATGAAGCACTGAGCACTGACGAGTTAAGTAAGAGTGAAATTGCAAATTAAATTTAAAATAATGAATAAAATGCATTGGCATGCTCTGTTCTCTTTCAGAAATCTTTATAAATAAAAACACAAATTAGAAAAATGTTTTATGTTATAAACTGTAGGAATCTGTAAATCTCTAAACGATTTCTGACCCCCCAGCCCACAAGTAAGGAGGTGGCACTTCCCTCACTGCCACTGGGTTTTGTTCGACTGTCTGAGAGTGTGTGTAACTAGTATATGGTCATAAGATTGTGTTTTAAAGACTTGTATACTTTGTAAAAACACTAGTTGTGTTTTTGGTCGTATTGTGGAGCCATAGTGGTTATAAAGTGGAACTGAGTGTCCAAGAATGAAGTTTGTCTAAGAAAGGAGGTGCATATTGTTTTATCTGAATGTGTGTTACCCAGTGAAAGAAAGACTTGACCTGCATCAATCGGGCTCTACAGATAAAGTCCAACTGAGACAACGTTTATTTAAAACCTCTCCAACTATCAGGACTCTGGATTGTTTTTTAAAAGCCTCTGAGTTGATGACAGTGAGGCTCTGCAGGGTATTTCACAAACTGAAGCGTTACATGGTGGGTTCCCTGAACCAAGAACTGATCATTGGATCATTATTAAACCACAGAACCACAACATCCTACATATTCATCTGGACCTCAACTGTTGCTTTGTGTTTTCCACAAAGCTTCATGTCTCCAACAGAAGAACAAAATGTCATGTTTCCTTACCTGCACAACAGGTAAAGGCTCAGGTTTGGTTAGGTCAGTCACACATGCACAGACACCTTATCCTGAAACTAACCACCCCAGTACATACCTGACCCTAAATCTACCCAAAACTTATATCACACTTGTTCCTTAACCTAACCCCACCCAACATAAGCACATGTAGCCGTGCTGCCTGCAGATTCAGGGTTACAGTACTTAGTTCTTTGTATTTTTGCCATCCTACATGTGGCATGTTGGTTTGGACTATACAAAAATCATAATGAAAAAATAACAGGTCTCCTTATTAGCAAGGACTAATGCCATTTTTGGAATGACAGCTTATTCTGATTAATTTTATTCAACTATGTTGTAAAAATGTATTCATGACAGTCTTGTGTTTGTGTTCAGGTGTAATAGCTCTCTGCCCAGCAGTGACAAGGGGAGGAGTAAAAGTCACTTTACTTTATGTCGCAAGAATAAAGCCAATGGTGTGAAGCCTAGCACTGTCCACACATCCTGCACACCTCAGGCTGCCAAGGTTAGAGCTCTCACACACACACACACACACACACACACACAC